TCTGTATGCTTGTAGCCCACACCACCCCAGCACCACCCCAGCACCACCCCAGCACCAGCACAGCACCAGCACAGGCAGCACCAGCAGCACCACCAGCACCAGCACCAGCACCACCAGCACCAGCAGCACCAGCAGCACCACCAGCAGCACCACCTCAGACAAAACACATCGCCAGACAGTTCGGATAATGTAATATGGCAAAATGGGTGCAGCCCCGCGCCCTGGTCCTTCCAGTTGTAGTCCTTTACGGATTACGGATTGAAGCGGATTACAGAATGCTGTCGGATTACGGAATGCGCCGGATTGTTCCCCAGAATCGGATTGCCGGATTGCGGATTCTAATACGGCCGCTAATTTTTAGAACAGGCCAGATAAAGGCAGCCACAGCACAAAAGGGGAACCCCATCCACGGCAGACAGGGACCCAAAGAGCAACAGCCGCTAAGGTTACCGAGGAAACAGAAAGACGGAAACTCCGTGTAATCAAACCCACGAACACTTTTGGGGGTCTCAGCATGTGCGTGTGGGTGGCGGGCGGGGTGGCGAGCTAGACATGGGGTTTGGCGCGTACGGAGGATCTATTTTGGGGAAAAAGATTTCGACCATTCGGCATTGCAACCTGTAAGGTCCGGGCAACAGGTTTCGGAACCCGTGGTTCTCGAGCCGGCCGTCGCTTACCAGGACAACGCGTCAAAAGTGCGTTACAAATTTGTAGAGGACAGCATATTTGCTTGAAGTTGTTCGTAATTTTGCGACAAGAACGCAGGATCCTCCCACTCCGCTTCCCGTTGCCTACTCCGATGAGGTTCAGGACGCCATCGTTTCCAAGACAAGGTGAACATTCAGCTTGCATGTTAACAGGAGGAGGCCAATTGCCAGAGCCCAGGGCCCCAACACCCCAAACGGCTGATGCAACTGGTGACTCGCTGAGCCTGTTTTTCAGGCTATGCAGTGATTGAGTTCCCAGCCGAAGAGGACATATGACAAGGTATTCAGCACAAACTGCCTAAGAGAACAATCTTGAGTTGGGATAGGTCCACGCATGTCTACAGTCTGCACATCTTTGAATCATTATCTGAAAATGGAGATTCCATGTATTCCTGTTTTGTTCCACCCACACCTGTCCGTTGGTGGCACTCCTGTCAGAGCCGCAGTCTGCGTCCACCGCTTCGGCAACGTTGCAACCAGGAAGCACTGACGATGTGCCAAACTTCCAGATCCGAGAGCACGAAGGTGAAGTGAATTGCGGGGTAGGTGAGGGCTGGGTAGGTGGCTTAGAAGAGGGGGACACCTTTCTCTTGCATGGCTGCGGCTCAGGTTCATGGTCAAGATTCCTGAAATGGCACCGGAAAAAAATGCAGCGGCCAGATCCTTCGAACCTGTGCCCGCCGACAAAGAAAAGCAGCGATTTCGCCCACTTGCCTCACTTCAGCCTGCCTGGCTGCCTGGCTGCCTGGCTCAGCTCTGTTGCTCAGATCCCTCCTGCTCTTAGAATCATCAAAATCTTCGAGCTCGGTAGACTCCCTGACTCCCTTTCTTCCTTTTTTCTGGTGCCTCTTCCAGCGGCCAGCCTTGGGAGCAAAAAGGTTAACGAAGTGCGTTAAGAGATTCAATCTCTGACTTTAACACTGTGCTCTTTGCTCTTTTGCCCACATCCTTTCGACGTCGCCCGCTGCGTTTCGCAGTAATGTCCCAGTAATGTCCCACCCCAGTCGTCAGCACCTTCGACCTGAAAGATGAGCTCCACAAAGCAGCCCCGATCGCCTCCTCTTAGGATCTCTTAGACTCTTAGCTGAGTTTCTTCTGCTCGTGATCTAACCGATATCGCCCCTTGGATGCGCAGCGGTTCCTGATTCTCTGCCGTAAAGGCGCTGAAGTATCAGCCAGAAAGGTGAGAAAAACATCATCTTTGACCGAAACCTACAGGGCTGGCCGCTTGGCTGCTAGGTCTGCTAGGTTGCCTCCCACGTTGACCGGAACCCTGTGACTTGTTCAAATCGTTTTCGTTTCCGCAAACGGCAGCCCATTGCTGAAGTGTACCGCTGACTTCCACCCCTTGCAGCCTTGCAGGAGGATGTCCAGTACGACTTGGAATATGCGCATGTCTTGGGAGACGATCTCGATACTTCCGAAATGCGGGTTGTAAACAGCATATGGCGATCTCCCACCGAGGCGCCAAAAGGAGTTCAAGGGAAGGGCACAACAAAAAGCTCGATGAATAGTGAATGGCAGGTAGTCATGGTGGGCTCCCGCACCCGGACACCGCAGTGGCGCAACTTGGCGGTACAAGATGTCTGAAAGGGACATTTGGTTCATTTTGGTGTGCATCCTGATTTATGTGTACTGAGGCGTGCATTTACCAGAGCTTCGTGCTTTTCGAGGGGACGTCTTGAAGCTTGTCCAGGGCCGAGGTTAAGAACAAGTTGCTTCTGAAGTTCTGCAAAAAGGTTGGTTCCGAGCTTTTTGTGTCTGAGAGGCCCTGCTGCAGCGCGTGCGCTTCCGGCTCCGGGCGCGCATCCCTCCCGAGGCCCCATGAAAACTTGGGGACACGTTTATGTCTTCGTGTCGCATTTTGTTTAAAGTCTCTGTGTCTTCCAAGGGCTCCACCTCACGTTGGTGGCCGCAGCCTTCTCTTTCTGTTTACTCTCCTTTCCCTTGCTCACTTGTCTTCAGGTCTTCGATCAGTCCGCCGGTGTCCACAGGCCAAGCCCCAAAAGAAGTTCTCCTCGAGTCGCCTGAAGTGTCGCCTGAGAAACGTTTGGTCGTTGAAAAGGTTTTGCGGGGGCCGAGAGCGTCGCGGGCTCTTTGGTGGCCGAGTCCGGGCGGCTCAGCGTCGAGGCCCAAAGCACCGAAGCACAGCAAAGGCTGAAGAACGTGAAGCGCAGACCTTGCTGTTGTGAACTTTGGCAAGTGGCAGCCGTGGCAGCCGTGGCAGGTGCGGTTCCAGCTGGACACGCGGCTCTCGGGCGTTGCACCAAACTCCAAGGAGCTCCAACTCCAACGCTCCGAGCTCTTCCAGGCCGATACTCTTTTTGCTCTCGTGATTAAGTATCCTGATGGTTATGAGGGTTTGGGGATGGAGTGTTCGTGATAACGGAGTAGTGAGTAGGTGCTGGACTGCCAAGGTTCCTACGAATTTGAACAGGTAAGTCATCTAGAGGATTGTACCCCATGAAGTAGGTTAGAATGCATAGGATAGCGGGGCACTAATCAAATCAAGCACCCAACTCAGACCCATCCCGAGAACCCAAGAGCGCACTTCTCATTTGTGCGTGTCATCTTGAGCCATCATTGGCAATGGTACACTTCTCGATTGTGCATTCAGCACATGCTTCTGCTCAAAACTTGGTACACTTCTCGGTTTGTGCACCTGTAAGAAACACTCCTCCTCGGCTGAGAAGCGATCCTAGCGCCGATGCCGCTCACTACGACAAATCCAGAAGTGATCTAGCTACAGCCACCCAATCCATAAAGCAACAAAAGTATTCGGGTGCCCCCGTGACCCGGGAGGAGAGTACTCCTCTTTCTTTTAACGAGGTGCTTCAAATCTCTTGGCTCTCAGGCCCACGAGTGGCTTTCATGACATCTTATGGCGCGGAAAAACATACTGTCTGGCCCCGTACTACTCAGTGGAAATTCCAAAGGCCCATTTTAATGAATTCAGGATTTCTACCGCTACTGCAGTAATACGTGCAAAAGACATGACAAGCACTGTCATGCGCCCCAGCCATTGTGTACAGTGCTTCGGTGTACTATGGCCGCACGCAAACCCCAAGCATCTCGCGTGCTGCTGCCAACTTCGTAGCAGCTAAAACTTTTGTCAGGCCATCCGCAGGTAGCTCTACTCCCGGACAGTGACCCAACTTTGCCCCTGAGGCTCCCAGATGGTCTCTGTTGTACGAACATCGGAAAGCATAATGCCTTGTGCGTTGTTCTTCCACAAAGTATCCAGGCTCGAAAAGCTGTTGGATGGGAGCCATGTTGTCTCCCTGAATGTACTGCTCTAGCTCAGATCCCACGATGCTTTGGACCCTATGTTGCACTTTGCATCCAAGCTGTAAGGACGATCCAAGTGCATCTAGTTCAGCTTCTGCCGGGGAAAAAGCTGTCAAGGTTTGACGCTAGCTTCTCCAAGCAATCAAATGCTCGCCCCAATGTATGGTGCTTCCAGATCTCGACTTGCTACCTCCAGGTGACCAAGAGGCATCGCTTGATGTTGTCAAGCGGGTTCCTGCGTTCCCTGCAGAGTATTTTAGTCCAAAGTCCTGTGTGTACCGAAGGTGACGCCACATCCCTTTCAAGACCTTAAGTGTTTCGGATGGATTGTATGACATGTGCGAAGCCAGTATGCCAACCGCGGCACTCAAGTCCGGTCTTGTACTCAAGTCCGGTCCTGTACGCAAGCTCACCCAAAGTAGCGCTCCCACCTGACTCTGACAGTCGCGAAGTTGTTCTGTGTGCTTCTGATCTCTGTCCTGCGGTGCGATGTGGCCCTAGTGACTTGGTTCCATTGAAAATTTTCCAGCCCCGCAGGAGAGATGCCTCTGCAACTCCTTCAGAAACTGGGAGTGTGGGTCATCTGCCAACGCCTTGTGAGAAGGGGGAGTTGGGATTATACGGGCCATTTTGTAGCATGAACTTGTTGCAGCCTTGCCGTGTTACCTCTGCACCAGCAAGGAGGCGCGGACCCGTTACCTTTTGAGCACCCAAGCCTTGTCACATGTCAGTTGCAAGCCACGCAGTTCATGTACAGTCTGCTAGAAATACATGTTTCCAAGCCTAACGTGCTAGTTCTGACTTAAGCGCGAATACCGCATTCTACTTTGGCTCAAGACCCGCGGGCTTAACAGATTTGCGAGCGGGAAAGTGTGCTGAAACTTTTCGCTGGATTTGTCCAAAATGTTCTTGTCAATGTTGGCGTCCGCTGCTTTGGAGAACAGGTCCTATCTTCTCTTCTTCCAGTTCAGTTATGTCGCGCCAATCATCTATGGCACCCTAACAAATGCAAGCCATGAGGATGTTCCGTCCAGCGAAGATGGCATTTTCGTTGCGATTTGGGAAAACTGAGTGATCCTTGCAATGTGATAGGTAGGCATTGCTTGGTATATGCCTTTTCGAAGTCCTCATCACGCATGTCTGGACAAAAATCTGCATCAGTCTGTATTAGCCATGGCTTCCTATGTGGGAGTTCTGTCCTTCTTTGGAGCTCCCAGGCGTACGCAACGTAATGTGGAGTCCTCTGTGCTAACAAAGCCTCCCCCAAAAGACAGCTCCAGTACCACATTCAGATTGAACACGGGCGTTACCAGCGTCACAAATTGTACGGCTAGCAAAACCGCACTGTGTCTTTTTTCTTGTGCAGGCACTGGTCAACTGTGCTCCCAGAGCCTCGAGCAATATCAACCGTGCATATACAATTGTGTGACATGAGCTGCACATGTCAAGAGCACAGCACTTGGACACGACAATTTTTTTTGTTACGCTCCCCGCCCCTGCCTCGTAATTGTTTTACCAACGTTCGGGTTGACCTATGTTGTTTGTTTGCTTTTTCGGTCGCGGACCCTGACCTTTCCTAGTTGGCCGTAAATCAAAGACTGGATTTGTAAAAGGCTTGGGTGGGCATTAGGCAACCAAGACCTTTGTGACGAGGATTGTTGGTGGGCGTATCTGTGCCACGCATTCGCGACAAAGGTATGTAACAGGCTGCAAACGGGTATATAGCGGGTACAGTGCTGCGGTGGGGGGGCCGCGACGGTCTTGATTCCAAACCATTTTTTGTTTGTGTCGGGTCCTGCACGCCGCAAGGCCACAGGCAATGGCAAAATCATGACGAAAGCCACCAACAGTGCTTGTATTCGTGCATGCGTGCATGGGGTAAGTGCATTTACTTGGCAAGCATGGTTTTGCCCGGCTGCTGTTGCTTTTGTTTGGATGTTGCACCTGGATCTGGCACAGCTTCGGGTCGAAGGCCTTGGATGATGCCGAGAAGCCAAAAGGTGGGGCACAATTCGGAAGGAACTTGTTTTGTTTCAGATGTTTGCCGAGGCGATGAACCGCCAGATCCTCAGATGAACAAATGATGACAGGTGGGAAAAACACTGTTCTGAGTGTGCTGAGCTGAGGGTCTCCTGGCCACGGGGCTTCGGGCACCCCTATGTGACAAGGCCAGGATCCAAAGGATCCCAAAAACGTTTTTTTTCTGCATAAGTGAGACACCGCTGAGATACCAGCTACGTGCACGGCATTGGCTTCCGGAAGACCTGGGCGGCTGTGGTTGGGGTGTTTGGGAGGATGACCGCAGCAGCTGTTCAGTTTCTTGGCGGCTTGCATGGCTTTTTGGGTTGCAGGAGTTTCCAGATGCCGCGCTGCCAAAGGAGCTACCAGGCAGGGGAGATTCAGAGAAGTGAAAGCCCAATATCCGCTTTTCACAGGCACCAGCCCAGCCCACTCCAAAGGGTCAGCGCCATTTTTTGCGAGCCTGCCCTGAGTTTCCGGGTGGCCTTCAAGACCAGGTACAAGGTGCCAGTGCCTTTGCCGGACGGTCGTGATCTCGTGGCAGCGTATACATCAGACTGCGAGCTGGTGCAGGAGACCTCACTCATTTTGTGAACAGGCTTTGCTTTGCATATCTTTGCATCTTGTGCGAGAGGCCTCGGTACGGGTGGGTGACGGCTTCAGGCCAAACGAAATGCTTAATAGGAAGGCAAGATGCCAGAAGCCTTGAAGCTCTACTCTGGGCAGGTGGTCTCCGTGGAGGACTTGCAACGAGGTGCCTGTCCTTGTGGAAAAGCCCTTACCGCTGGAGGCGGAGTTGAGTGCTAGGGAGACAAGCAGAGGAAAAGTTTTGTGAGTTTTTTTCGCTGTTTCAACGTATGCGAGGGGACCGAGGCGGAGGCCTCCTGGCACACAGCGGCAGCCTTCCTGAAGCTTTGTGAAGCCTTCGTGAAGCCTGTGAAGCCCGCGGAAATCTGTAAAAAGCTATAAATGTATAAAGCTCTGAGGTTTGCCGCGTGGAGTGGCCGCACGCTCTTGCGCACGCCGGGCTCTCCGCAGACTAGACTTTGCCGGGTCGTGTCAGATTTGCATAGCAGCACGCATAACAGCACCATTGCACCAGGCAGGTATCCAGGATGTTGAGTACCAGCTCGTGGTCATCCCAGACAGCTCCCACTTACTGCCCTTTGTAGGCGCCCCGCTTAGGTGTGCAGTTCCCCACAAGACCTCTACATTGCAGAGGGATTGCCGCAGGTGTTTTCCTTGTCAACAGGGGTGGAACCTCCACATAACTACTCCAGCACCTTAACATGCATCAAGGGAGAAGTGCCTTGGAACCCCCTGTTTTTTGATGTCCTTCAGCTGTTGGTGTTTCATTTGATCTTCAACTAGAAACTAGGAGCCTGTTTTCTGTGAAGAGGTGCCACAGTGGTGGCTCCGGCGGCACTTTCGGAAGGGGCAGGCTCGGGTGCTGGTGGTGGAAGCGTGCGGTCGCGGCGGGTAAAGGCCAAAAGGGTCGCCTCCTCAGCAAAGCTTTCATCAAAGTTTTTGAGAAAGGTTTCGGTTTCCTCTGAATTTTAACACGAGGAGCCCGGCTTTCCACGCTTCCCGCTGCCTAGCATGGCGCGCTTGATATCTGGCCAGGCCTTCTGAAGATATCTGAAGATCAGAGCTATTGAAAGTCTCTGCAGGCCAGACTGCTGCCCGAGAACACAGGAAGGGGCCATGTTTGAACACATGTTTGGAAGTGCAGTCCGAGTCGGCCTAGCGTGCTGGCGCTTTGCGCATCTTTGAGAGTCTCCGAGGAAGAGGTGAGAGGCTTCCCTCCCTCATGGTGCTCTTCAGTGATGTCAGCTTCTTCATGCTCTTAGTCGTTCAAAGCGCGTGCTATTGCACAACTCGCAAAACACAAGCACATATGTTGTAATCGCTCGGGTTGGGCTTTGGTAAGTTTTGTGTGTGGAATCACCTGCTCGGATGTGGGCAGGCACAACATGAAGCATTGATGCAGCCGGGGTGCTCGAACGACACTTTTGACTTATCAACAGTGTTCGAGCCATGGATTGGACAGAATTCGTCCAGACGGTGGAGAGCCCTCCGCCTGCTGAAGCAGTTGTCAAGGCAGCCATTGACTGGTTCACGAACGAGCTGCAAGCACGAACGCCGGCACTCGCAGAAGGTTTCACTGAGGAATCGGTCGAATCTAAGCTGCCAAAGGACCTCGTGTTGCAAGCATGCTGTCGCAGATTGCTTCGGGCCGTTGAGGCGGTAGGCAAAGCAAAGCGTGTGCAAACAGTTCAATCCTGTACAGTGGCAACTGTAGCTCCTCCTGGAGCATCAGCTCAAAGTCTGGCAAAACTGCTCGCGCCAGGGAAGGTGGCGGAGGTCTCCACATTGTTGGATCAGGCTTCGATGAAGGGGCTGTGCTTCGGGCTGCAAGCGGAGCAATCACTGTGGAACGCAATGCAAAGCCATTCTGATGAGTGCCGCTCGTCTGGCAAAACAGTTTTTCTGTTTGTCGACTTGACTGCAAAAGAGTGCCTCCCGATGTGGTTGACCCCGGACCAGATCGGGGGCAAATTTTGCTTGAGGGAGGACAAGGAAGGGGCTCTGCATGGCGGGCAGGCGATATCCAACCTCCAGGATCTGGGCCGCGCGTTGAAAAGCGCAACCTCATCATCACGTTTCTTCAGGTCCCTTGGTCAGTGGACGGGAGCATTCTTGCGATACGCAGCTGTTGCGATATCCACCAAGCAGCTGTCGTGGCCTGATGTTTTGTCGCACATCGATGTGGTGACGCAACTGGCGGAGCAAGAACGGCAAAAGGGCAACCCTCTTTTTCTGGCATTTGTATATGAAGAGTAGATGAGGAAAAATTGGTCTAGGAGAGCCGAGAAGTCCGATCCGGACCTGAAGATTTCGCTGGAGATTCAGAAAGTGGACAAGGATGTCCTTGACATTGCTCGACACCGGCTGAGTGAAGTCCTCAAAGAGGCCGGCATGGATGGATCGGGAGAGACCGCCCCAACTAGACCTAAGTCCCTGGAAATGGCAAAGAGCATGCCTGCCAGCATCGACAATGCTCTCATTCGACAGTCTGCTGCAACGGAAGCAGCTCGCAAGCAAGCTGAACAAGTTTCCAAGCAGCTGCTGGAGACGCAGAAGATGATTCTGGAAAAAGGGCTCGCTGCCTCTTCTTCGGGAGGAAAGGGTGATCAAAAAGGCAAGAGATTTGGCGACACAGGGCAGCCAAGTAACCGCCAGCGCAAGACGCAGAAATGGTTTGAGAAAGGCCAAGCGCGCAGAGAGGAACAGGCCAAACGTAAGGAGTGGAATGACCGCAGGTACTGAGGCGACACACGGGTCCAGGCGGATCCACCTGGCCTTCCTGAACTGTTCGCAAAGCTTCCCGATGCAGGTCGAGCTCCCCCTTTGTTCCTAGAGTGCTTCGCAGGAGCTGCTGTGCTCACAAGGGCTGTCATGTTGGCCGGACTCCCATGCGCGAAGCCTTGGGATCTGCAATTTGGCGAGCAGTTTGATGTGCTGGTGAATGGTGAGCAGCTGCTGAGTTCTGCAAGGTCGGGATTAGTGAGGCACGGGCACTTTGGCACGCCGTGCCAGTCCATGACCTTCGCCAGGGATCCGCAACTGCGATGTGCAGAATGTCCTTGGGGTATCGAGGACTTGCAGCCCCACCAACTTGACCTGGTCAAGCTGGGAAATTCCCTGGCCATTTTTACTGCCGAGATGTGTCTGTGTTTATGGGCTGCCGGGGCCACGTTTTCGATTGAAAGCCCAGCGTTATCGTGGCTCTGGGTCTTGCAGCCTTTGCAAAGACTCCGGGCGTTACCAGGCGTGGAATTTCTTCACCTCAAATTTTCCGATTTCCTGGTGCCTTTCACAAAACCCACGCTGTTGCTCCACAACGTGCCGAAGTGGCACCTGGCGTGTCAGGAGGTAGCTACCTGGCAAGGGGAGCTATGTGTGCTCCGAGGCCAGGTGTGGTACAAAGGTCAGAAGGTCGTATCCCCCGTTGTTGTGTTTGAGGTTGGCTGCTCTGCTCAAGGAATCATGGGATTGACCCCTGGAGCCCCTCCTGCTGCCGCAAACATTATTGGAAGCACAGTGCTACACTGAGGTTTTGCCTTCGCTGGGGCCCTTCATCGTTCCTTATGGACTCGGAGCCCCAAGAGGTTTAAGCCCTGACCTTCATATTGAATTTGCTCGCGATGTGCAGCATCCCAGCGCGAAGCAAATGGACATTCCAGAGCCGCTCAGACAGGCCTTGACTTTTGAGGCGTCTCAAGATGCCGATTCGATTGATGCATTCAGAGCCAAGCAGTTATGTGCACTGTGCCACAGGATCGCGTGCAACATGACGCACTGGACTCTTTGGCTGAGATAGCGCTCCATTTCTTTGACCAATCATGCGATGTGAGACTTTGGAAGCGGGACATCTCGCAGGCGTTCAGAAGGGTCCCAATTTGTTCCCCAGCATTTGCAATTCACGTGGGGAGTTTGGGCGCACGGAGGCAAGCTATGGGTCGCCCAGCACAAAGGCACTCCATTCGGAACAGTTGCTGCTGTTTATTCTTGGCATAGAGTGGGGTACCTGCTGAGGCTGCTTGTCCTGATGGTTTTTCTGGCTCCTGCGAGTAGGTATGTTGATGATTTCTTTGGGGCTATAGTCGTGTTGGAGTCAGGCTGACCGGCGGAGTGCTGTTGTCAGTGCTCGCCTCTTTGCTGGGGTTCCCATGTGATGAATCCAAAAGTGCCGATTTTGCTGTGGCCATGACGGTGCTGGGATGCACGTTGAGCTTCTCGGAGCGCGTCCTACACACAAAGGTGGATCCTGACAAGGCCCAAAAATACCGTGCGCAGCTAGAAATTTTGTTGAGCTGCGGAACCCTGTCTTCGGGCGAAGCCTCGAAACTGGCAGGTCGTCTTTCTTTTGCAGTCACGGTGTCTGGAAATCGCGTAGGGAGAGCCTTCATTAAGCCCTTTTATGCGCAGGCACGGGCTCCCTTGCCGCATGATGCAGTGTCTCCCCAGCTCCGCCAGGCAGCCACATGGTTTGATGCCTGTCTTCAAATTTGCCCGGCCTCAGCCCGCAGAGGCAAAGCCACCAAGCGGGTGCAGTGTATTACGTGGTCTGAATGGGACAAAGGCCCGTCACCCAATGGGCGGGTGCAAGCCTGCAGAATTTTGTGCCAAAGTGCATGACATGGCGAGTTGGCTGGGCCAAAGTGGATAAGGCAGACGCCGTGGCTCTCTGGCATCAGCGGGTTGCTCTGCAGCTGGTGGGGAGGGGCTTTCATGATCCTGCCCATCTTGATGGTTTGCCTGACAGCACCGCAGTGAAGTTCTGAGATTCAGACAAGGGCAAATGTTTGTTAAAGACTGCTATCGCGGTGGCAGCCTCGCAAGCTGCAAGGAAGAGAGCAAAAATTGCACATATGACAGTGGTCAAGCGCCCCCACGGCATGTCTACAGCGCGTGAGCTCCACCGAACGCGAGCAGTTTCTTCCTGGAGCTGGTCCACGGCAAGCGATTGGTCGTCTTGCCGGTCAAATTCTGAGTGGGGGTTCAGGTTCCGAGTCCACGTGGCAATTGTTGCAAACCAGGGTTCAGGAGCTCAAGCATGACTCTCGTAAAGACAAGCAATCACTGGCATCAGGCCTCAGGGCGTGGCATGCTTTTGCTACTATGGCTCACTGCATGTGCTCATGTGCTTGGCCCTCTTCCGAAACGCAGGGACGGCGTATACTGCTTGGACTGGTACGATCATGAAGTGCGTATGACCATACAAGGGCTGAAGAACCACCAGGCTCAGCAGCAGGACCAGTTGGTGAACCATCCATTGCTCTTAGATGAGTGCCTCATGTCCCGTTTGGCTGCACTGCGAAGAAATCCCAGGGTTCGCAGTGGCGGGTGAGCTCTTTGTCCTTTCATGGGCATTCCTTCTGCGCGTCCAATCTGAAGGTGTACCACTGGAAGCAGGGACTGAGGAGGAGCTACGACATCTGCCAGGTCACAGGCATTCCGCAGTGGTGATCGATAGTGCCGGGAACTTGCAGCTGCGCTTACGTTGTCGCAAGAATCGACCGCACGGGTCCCTGCTGGTGCGACCTTGCACTTGTACACTGCCTGGGGGGCCGCTTATGTGCGCCCCGCGTCGGGTCCAAGCTAGACTCAGCCAAATGATGCCAGGACAGAGACTGTTCCCTGCCTCTGAAGGTCAGTACTTGCACTTATTTAGGCAGGCGCTGAAGCTGTTGGGAGTGCCGCAGGCATCGAGCTTCGGTTTCAAAGCTTTCCGTGCAGGTAGAGCCACACAACTTGCCGAAGAGGGCAAGCCGGTCCATGTTATCATGATGATGGGTGAGTGGCGAAGTGCTGCCGTCTTGAACTATGTATCCCCAGATGCGTTAGATGCTGGAGTGTTCTGGCAGGAAGTACAGCAGGATTCTGTTTAATATTTGGGAGGCGGCGTTGGGTGGATGCATGTTGCCGTGCCCACGATTACCAAATGTCGGTGCTGAAAGCGCTGTCACGTGAAAGATGCCGGTGCTGAAAGCGCTGTCGTGCCATGAGCGTGGGGGCTTACGGATTGCGGACTTCACCTGCCTTTCCCAATGACATAACCAGGTGTGCAATCTTAAGGAAAATGGCCGCTTCTGCGTTGAGACTTGGCTGCATCACCATTAAACCCATTT